AAGAGATGGAGAGGAAGACCCAAACAGACGTGGGTTAGGGGAGTTCGAAGTGATATGCTTCTTCTGGGGTTGGATGAGGGCATGACTTTGGAGAGAACTAAGTGGAGGACGGGTATTCACGTGAAGGAGTGATCTTGATAATCTTTTTCCCTCATCTTTCTTTTCCTAGTTTTTTTTATCCTTATATATATATGCATTATTTGCAGCCTTTTTATTTTATCATTTTTATATATAATCATCTTTTTTATATTATTTTTTTCATAATAGCTTATCTTTTTATCTTTATTTCTTCTTTTCCTTTTGGTTGTGATATCATGTATCGATTCATGTTAGCCGACCCCAATATCTTTTGGGACTAAGGCTTGGATGTTGTTGTAAATATCTCATATAACGGCAGCAGGTCATATATTTAATTTACTCCGTAATAAATACTGATATAGTTTTAACTTTTAAAAACAAGATGAATAAATACTAAACTAAAAAATTAAGGTTTCTCTAAATAATTAACAATTTTGAGTTGCTGGACAATGAACTACTAATGGTATTATATTTAATATAACAACAGTAATAAAAAATATACACATACCAAGAATCCGTGGAATATTAAAAAAGCTTGACCGAGGACAATTAAGCAACTTCAACATCACATAGGACTGAGATTTCGTGAGCTTTCTAAACCTGGCCACCTCTCCACTTTGAGAATGATAAAACACTGAAATATGAATTCATTTGGAATGAACAATTGTTTAACACAGTGACCATATTAATACTCCAAATCCCTGTTTTAAAAGCTAAGAGTGTTAAGTTTTCAACACACACACAATCACACACACATACAAGCACGCACGCGCGCACACACACACATACATATATGATCATTAACAATATTATATTTCAATTTACTCTTATTTGCAATTTTGCACTATAAATTTAACGGCTATTAGCCCTAAGTAGGACTAAAAGTAGCCCTAAATGCAACAATATCACTATAATCCTTTTATTTCTAAAATAGAAGTAATATATGTCCCTTCTTCCCATTCAACTCACTTCCTATAATTTCTAATATATTATTTTATCAATAATAAAGACATAGTTTTATTTATAATAAAAATATAAAAAATAATAAAAATATGTATCAATTAATAATAAGAACGGGAAAAAATAAAATGAAATAAGAAATAAGAAATAAAAATAAAAATAAAATATTTAAAAAACCTAAAAAAAAGTCTTAAAAAATAAAATAAAACAAAAATACCAAAACAATATTAAAAAATATGTAGGCCACTACCACCATATCCTCCACCTTCCTATACTACCAACTTTGATCGCTAGAAAAAATCTCGATCTTGTGCAAGAAATACCACATTCCTCTAAAAATGTCATGAAGATGACATTTTTTATTCATTGAAACAATCCAACATTCTTTTCAAAATTGCCATCACGGTGACTTTTTCTTCAATTGGCATTATTTTCCAGTGACCGAATGTGGCAGTGTTGGAAGGTGGCTGGGGTGGTGGTGAAGGCATGTACGCTTTTTTATGTTTTGTTATTATTTAAAATCCTATTTAGAATGACAAAGGAAAGGGTAGAATATGAAGAGTTAGATCTATGTTGGGACTTTAAGCTCTTATTATTGTTGCAATTTTTCTTTTATTTATTCATATTTACGGAAATTTTGAAATAAATTCAATTTGATATTCATTATTTTTCATAAAATATAATTGAAATATTTGAACACTACATACTCATCAGATTCTCTAATAGCTTTTTTTCCTTATCAATATTTTAGTTATATTCATTTTTATTCATAATAAAAGAGATTTCATAGTAATTTTAGAAATGTGCAGAACCACAGTACAAATTAATTGCTTTATTCGTAAAGTGACAAAGTGTTTTGGGACAACTAAAAACGAAAAGTTGGCAAAGTCCAATGGGACGGAGAGAGTATCTATTTATAAAATTGACTACATTAGAAATAATTATCATGTACTTTCTATTAAAATTTAATATAATACTCCATACTACGTACGTATTACTAAAACTACTTTAAAATATTTATTATAATGAATAAAAAAAATGAATATAAATAAAATATGGATAAGGAATAAAACATTATAGAGAATTTGATGACTATGTAGTGCTCAAATATTCTATTATGTTTGATGAAAAATATTGAATATGAAATCAAATTCTTAAATAGAAGAAATAAGATTAAACTCAAATATAATATTGTTAATACTTATATATATATATATATATATATATATATATATATATATATATATATATATATATATATATATATATATATATATATATATATTCGCTACAATGTATTTAATTTTTTTAAAAAAATTAACAGCAAACTTAACACTGTTAGCGCTCGATTTATTTTTGTGAAACAGTTAATTAGTTGTGATTATTGTTGTGTACTTTTCTAGTAGGGATTATTTTTATAAAATATGCAAACGGAAGGATTATTGGTGTCAATTTCGTCTAAGTTTTTTCAATCTATAACCCTCTAATGCTAAATCTCTATCTTTACTACAGTACACACCCAATCACCCATTATTCCAACCTTCATATAAATATGTGAACCATTACAAATAATACTATTACCTTAAAAATTACTACCGTTTCGTGCAAATATTAAGAATATGAGGAAATTGTATACTCCGTATTATTTATTTTAAAAAACATTATCAATTATCAGAAAATAAACAAAATATCCTAAATTTGGAATGATTAAAATTGATCGAGAGCACACAATTAAGAAGTTAAAAGAGTAAAGTTTACCATTGTGATGACCACAAAGTTACTAGGTGAGCGACGACGGTTACAAAAGAATATGCAACAATAACTTAAAGAAAATTAGGGTCGGCATATCAGTCCGATTTAGCATAACCAAACCATACTGGTGTACTACACCCACCCAAATTGAATCAAAATCGAATCATATGCAATTCGGTTTGAGTTTAGAAGTGTTTTTTCCAAACCGTATCAAAATGGACAACTTCAAAATTGAGAACTGATCCAAACTAAACAAAAAGTTTAATATATTATTAGAAAATAATAAATCCAGACCGAACCAAATGAAAAAAAGATATTGTATGAATTTGTTTGGTAATTATACTTCACATTGGTTTTAAACCGAATCTAACTAAAACCCGATAAAATAGAACTGAAACCGATATGACCGATCGTAAAAGAAAATATTAGACAATGATAAAGAAGTAAAGGGGGTGGAATGCACCAACACTCACATGGAAGTGAGGGTAGAGAGAGATATAGAGTGCATGAGCAGGGGCGGACCCACCCTAGGGCTAGGGGGTGCCCGTGCCCCTGCGGTGATTTATATATATATATATATATATATATATATATATATATATATATATATATATATATATATATATATATATTGGAAAATTCTCAGGTCCAACACCTCCCGATCCGAACGCCGTCCGAACACCTCCGTTTGGGGCGGTTCCAGGTAGAATTGTTTGATGAAATTTTTTGAGCATGTTCCTCATCAAGTCTAGTTTATCCATACCAAATTTCAGGTCAAAATTCGACCGGTAAGTCAGTCAAATAATTCGTTGAAGTTAACTGCGTTTTTCTATGTATAATTTGGCGAAGTTAACTTCAACGAATTATTTGACTGCCTTCCTGATCGAATTTTGAGCTGAAGTTTGGTATGAATAAACTAGACTTGATGAGGAACATGCTCAAAACTTTTCATCAAAATATTCCGCCGGGAACCGCCCCAAACGTCGGTGTTCGGACGGCGTTCGGACAGAAAAGTGCTGGACTGAAAAGTTATGCCGATTGAGACTTATGATGTTAATATTAGAGATGAGTTGAGGAGACGTTATTTGAGAAAAAGTCCTTGCCAACCGCGTGACTTTAAATTTACACAAAGTGATTTTAATGGGTGCAACAGATCATTCCAAAAACAGTGGTTTTATTTAAATTTTATAGTTTTGTTTATTGCTATACTCGTGATGCATATGATTTTTTTCTAGACTAGTATATCATTTCTTTGTTATTGTGCCCCTGCGAGTCACGAGTCCTGGTTCCGCCACTGTGCATGAGCGTGTAGGATGCATGTTCGACATCTGTCATACATTGAAAAAAACGGACTTTCCGATGCTAAATGGAATGACTAGTATGTGTGCGTTCATGAGCTCTAAATCTTATATGAACTAACTAAGTAAAGAGGTTGTCCCTTTGATAAAGATTTAATAATTTTCGCTCACTAGTTTCTCTTAAATCATGAGTGGATTCGAGTAATCCAATCTCATATAACCTTGCAGAGTTGCAGACTTCCATTTCTGTCTAGAGAACTCAGTGGGAAGGTGATCATTTCCTTTCTATTTCATTTTTTGCGTATCTATGGCAGCATGTCTATTTCATTTAATCCAGGGCTGGGATTTTGTAGAGGTGGAAGGTTTAGTAGTAGTAGAAGGTTTAATCAAGCTTCAAGCAGGTATCTCAAAAATCTGTGGTGAGTCAAGTATTTTTGCGATGGACATTCTAGCCGATGGTATTCGTGGTATTAGTAGAAGGTTTAGGCGATCAATCAACAAAGTTAATTGTGTCTCGTGATGGCTAGATTATTAACTTGTTCTTTGCCTTTGATTGTCATCGTTTGGATGAATATTCTCCCTTTTGTATTATTAAGAAGTTGACTTTCCATTTGATTAATGTTAATTAAGAGCCTATTTTGTAAGTTGACTTTCCATTTGACTTTCCATTTTATCAGACAACTTTTTAATCAAACACGTAACTTTTAATTTCGCGCGCTGAATTGTGTAATAATATGTAGTAAAAAAAATAAGATTGAAGTTAAATTACTTTTTAGTTGTATTGGCTGAAATTATAATTTATGATCATTTTAGATATTTGTTCATATAATTTTTTTCTTTATTTTATTAATAAAATATAATTTAAATATAATTTATTCATAAATCGACAAAATTAGCCAATACAATCACTTCAGACAGAACTTTATAAATTTCAGCAGAATAAGACGATTTTGTCGATTTCAATGTTACCAAAAGGCTCTAAAGTTTATTCCTTTCAAACAATAATTCATTCTCCGTGTATAAAACAACTTGTACGTACAAAATAAATAAATAAATGATTCCTTTCAAAAATAAATAATCCCTAAATAAATAAACAAATGATTAAGCCAGGCCGGAATAAATCATTGATCGATGTTGCGTTGCTAGTAGATGTCGTCGCTATTGATGAGGCGCTTGTGTTGGTTATAATGCTTTTGTTTCTCTAAGAAAATCTTGGAAGCCCCCTCTACAGTCTTTCGCCATGTCTGAACGTACCTCACAATGCAAATTTAAAAGACACAACAACGCAGATTTAGAGTTCAATAGTGCGTAGTATTATTTCTATAGTTTTATTTACACAACCTGTAAAAAATACTAACAAAACAAACATTATATGGTTTACAGCTGGTTTGGTGTCCTATTTTTTGGCTTATCAAACACATAACTTTTGATTTTGCACGGTGAATGTGTAACCATTAACAAGAAAAATTAAAATTTAAGTTACTCTCTAACTGTATTAGATAAAGTTACGTTAAAAAATTATTTTTGCTATTTTTCATACAATGTTTTATTTATTTTATTAATAAGAGATATTAATTTTTTCCCCATATATCAGCCGAATCAACCAATTCAGTCACTTTAATCACAACTTCATAAATTTAAGTAGAATCAACCAATTCAACCGATTTTGATATTATTAAATGGGTTCTTAGTATTCTTTAATTTAAAGATAATTTTTTCAACATTTTCACATTCAGTAGTTCAAATAAATTACTTCCCGTGATTTTTAACAAGTTACTAACTTTGCCAAAAAAAAGTTACTAACAAAAAAACAGATAAAACACGAGAGCCTTTTTTTAAAAATTGAATTCTACGTTTCTACTCTCTCGACTTCATTTTTGGTAACTTTGCCAAAAAAAAGTTACCAACCTATTATTTTGCTCGGGGATCGGAATAAAGAGAGATACGTACGTACGTACCTTTACTAGCGTAGCCACGAAAGACCTATTATTCAACTCCCGGGCTCGGACCCTAACTTTCCCAATTCCGAAATGCGGAGTCGGCCTCTTATAAGCCGGCGGAGAGAGAAGAGACTTGCGCTCCACCACCGTCGCACCACTGCCATTGGCCGCTTCTCTTCCGCAATAAATGCTGCTACTACGACGACGAGCGCCGGCGGCGGCGAACAGAGCGAGTTCTCTCCTTTTGAGGCGCTTGACGAGTCGGAGCTGTCGCCTGTCTTCCGATAGAGACCCTCCCACTTCGGCGAACTTCCTGAGAAGCTCGTCCGATGAAGATCTGGTGACATGCTGAACTGTAGCTGCGGCTGCATTACTTTTCTCCATTTCAGAATCTGGGGAGCGCGCTGGATGGATGGATAGAAATTAAATGACCATGGCATCAATCACTATTCATTTTTTTATTGTGTAAAATTAGCCGTTGGAAAGACATACAGGTCCCATTCCACTGATAGTCCACCGCACTAATTATAGACCAGAAATCTATGAATCCACGTCACATCTCTTAATATCAGATTTCCCCCCCTGCTCGATTACGGAAACTCATCAAGTTATGACTTTCATTATCCTTTTGACCATACGTTTCAATCCAAAACGCACCGGTGAGTGCGGTCCGGTCCGATCCGGTCCGGTCTAATATTTTACTGAATCCGTACTCGGATCGTTACTATTGAAACCGGTTCGGTTCGGTTCGGTCTTAGACCTAAATCCGTTTAGTTCGGTTCCATTTTCAAACGGTTCGGTACCATGCCATAACAATGCCAAACAATGTCACTTTTTTGATAAATTAAAACTTAGTCATCAACAAAAAATTCACACAATTATCAATTTTCATACTACCTCCGTCCTAAAAAACTTTGTCATTTCAAAAAATTTGAATCATGATTTTGATTAGTATAGAGTATTATGGAAGTTATAAATTTATACTTTTATGAAAGTATATTTAACAAAGAACATTTTCATATAATTTTTATATTATAAATAATTCTCAATAAAAAAATATAATTGGTCAAAGTTTTGAAAATGGAAAAGATTTTTGGAACGGAGGTAGTATTTCATAGTTAATGAATTTCTTATAAACTATAATAGTACAAAACATAAATAACTAGCAATAACATAGTTAATGAATTTCATATAATACTATTCATTTTTACCGATCCGGTTAACTAGCAAAGTGCAAATGAGTAATCAAAGTAATGGTAATATGGTATAAATGTATATATAATTATAAAATTATAAAAATTAATAAAATTATAATTCGGTTCGGTTCGGTCCAGTACCGGTTCTCATTTTATGAGAACCGGTCATGGCATGGTTTGAAATCGGTCTGGTCCGATTCAGGACAAAATTTTTTAGAACCGTTTGAAATCCAGATTTCCGGTCTGGTACCATATCGGTCCGGTGCGGTACCATGCCGGTTCGGTTATTTTGCCCACCCCTACCAAAACCTCCCCCCAAACACACACGCTGATCAACCGAGTGCGTCACACACCACGTCCCCGTCCAAAATCTTCTTTACTCGCACCAATAATTGCAATATTTCAAAATATAATTAGGTGCTTATAATGAGTTAATAAAGTAAAAATCAATTAGAAACACATAAATGTTATCAAATATGGTATGCGATAATAATAGTGAGACATTCAAAAATGAAAATGAGACAATTCTAGAGGGACAAAGGGAGTATTAATTACCTTTCTCCCATATTCGATATTTTGTTTTAGTTTGAGACACTTATTAATTAAATTGCTGAAAACTTTGTAAAAATATTAATAAAATCGCTGAAAATAAAAAATTGTGATTGAGATTTGAGTACAATAATATGAAATCATATAGACAATCCAAAAAGGAAAGTAAGACAACCAAACTAGAACGAGGGATTATACAAATAATTACATAAATAAGAAAAAATGACAAAATAATCTCAGTTACTTTTGATCAGCATTAATAATCCCAATTATGACCATTTACCGGTGAACCCAACTATAGTCATTTCTCAATAATAGTCCTCGTGATAGTGATTCACAGTGGTGCTTAAAAAATGTTATCTATTTATAATGACTCGAATTATGATCGGGCCATTTTCAGTGGTCTCAACATATAAATAAAAAATATTTCTAATAGATCAAGAAATAAGAAATAATTACATATTTATTACTAAAATGAAGATTGTTTACAAAAATGTGATTAATGACTAAAGTAGTAATGAAATCATAGTAACTTATGTTCAATTTTTAAACTTAAGTTACTATGATACTACATTGTAGTAAGTCATAGTCATATTTATGTAAATAAGTTTTATTTTAGTAATACTTTTGTAAAAAAACCCCGAGAAATAACACTCCATACTTATTGTTGAGTTTAATTCCCGAATGGATCCGAAAGCCCAACACCAACCTTAGAATCTAGAATATAGTTGGTACAGTAACAAATGTTTAAAGGAAATATAAAAACTGATAAGCCCACTCAAGAACTTAAATCGTATTAGAGCAATAAATATTATTGAGGTTTATTCCTTCAAGCCGTAGGCCCAACACACGACCCAAGGGTTTCAAATGGAAGAAGTATCGAAGTAGATGTAGAAACAAGCAAGAAGGACCCAATAAGAAGTCTTAATACACTGAAAGAGTTACCAAGCCGAGAGGCCGTTCATCCCCCGCTATGCTACGAGCTGTTACAATGCAATAATACTAAAGCTCAGTTGTCAACCTGTTACAATGAAATAAATGCTACTATTTATACTGCCAATGGGTAGTTAGATGCGTTGATGTGGCGGGCCGTGAATGGCTTGATCTCAACCACCAAATCTTCTGCATTAAATGCGCAACCACCAAATCTTTTGCATTAAATGCGCTTCCCGCCAGGATCTTGGCTTCCCGCCAAGGGGTGGGGACGTGCGTCCCCATGAGCTTGCCTCATGTTCTCTGCTGGGTCCAAAGTCCTGTAAGACGAGCGTCTGGGCTGCCCCTGGGCCAAGGCACCCGCTTATGCTATGGTACATACGTCCCCTGGGCCTTGGTGCTGAAGCCTGGTGGCCCTGTTGGGGTCGTACAAACCTCGCCAGGATAAGCGGAAAGGTAACTTGTTGTCTCGTGCCTTCTGGAGACGTTCTTAGGGCAGCCCCCTGGACCTTCGTACCCGGCTATCCATATGATTGGGCCCTGGTGGCCTGTAGGGGACGTTCGTCGCTTGTTCTGAGGGGGAGGCACTCCCTGTTATTCTCATTTCTCTGGAGACGTCCGTATGTAGGGTGGATCTTATGGGCTTATGGGCCAATGCCTGTTCGGCCATTAACCCAACACAAGTCTCCCACTTCTGATGTTCCGAGCATGCGCAGGGACATAAGGAAGTCGAATTGAATTCGACGTACATCGCCAGCTAATACCCATGCCGCTAGAAACTTGGGTTCCCAGGCACTGGCTGTCTGGTTCCCGTGGCCGTGTCTCCTGATGTGTGTCTCCTTACTGTTATGTCCCCATTGGAGACAAACTTCCTTCCTTCCTTAGGGTCGTCTTCAGGATATTTCACCAGAGGGCCTGGGCTCTGGGAACGAATGTTCGGTGGGCTTTATTGGGTTGATGGGCCGATCCGTGTTGGGTCATTAACCCAACACAAGTCCCCCACTTCTGACATTCCGAGCGTGCGCGGGACATAAGGAAGTAGAATTGAATCTGACATACGTCGCCAGCTAATACCTTTGACGCCTCCCAAGTCGATGAGCCACTCCGTGTCTCCTCACGTACGTCCCCTGACAATTGTCCTTGGAATGCAGCTATCTACCTTCCCGGGTTCTGTACCCTGGGGTCGGACGTCCCCTATGGGGACGAACCTCTTCTCTTCCTTGGGCTCCTTCCAGGGGGTCTCACCAGAAGGTTTGGGCTTAGGGGACGACCATTGGGTGGGCCTTGAATAAGTAAAACTGTTTCCGCCGTACTACCTTTAGCCGACACCCCTGACGCGATGGTTGCCTGCTGTATTATGGATCTCTGAACGTCTTGCCTTATTCACTGGATCTTCGTACTCGGCTGTCTATCTGAACGGGCCTAGACGACTCGTGGGGACGTACGTCTTCCCGTGAGGGCTTGGTCCGTTCGGTCCCCGAATCTGCCCGTCCTCTGCCTTCGTTGGCATATGTGTGAGGGTTTGCCCCCCCCCCCCCCCCCCCCGAATGCCCGACTAAACTTCCTTCGGACGTCCGATTCCTAGAACCTTGGCCTTGATATGTCCAGCTTCGTCATGCACGACCCAGGGGCGCCCCGACCTCGTCATGCTAAGCGTCAATCCTCGCCCCGAGTTCCTAGAGATGTTCGACCTCTGAATTTTTCCTTCAGGATGCTTGGCTCGACATGCTTAGGAAGATTGGTCCCTAAAGACCCGAGTCGGCTTCTCTTGGACGTTCGACCCCCGCATGCTAGGCTGGCCCTCCTTGGGACGTTATGACTTTGATATGTCAGCCTTGGCAGGCTTAGTCCCGGGATATGTTGTGCGTCTCACGACCCTCGACTGTGATGCTCATCTCATGGCCTCTTCGTGGATGATGCTTGTCTCCAGGCCCTTGGCCTCTAAAATGGAGACGCTCGCCTCACGGCCCCAGTCTTTGGCGACGAACGGGTTTCCTGCCCTTCATTCAACTATCTTCTCATCGTCCTGGACAACTTAGGACCTGGGGCCGCACCACGCTAAGCTGATGATCTTTGATGGAGAATAAACGTCATCTTGGTGACGAGGGGATTATCCGTTTGTTGAATGCCTTCTCGTCGGGTCGGTGGTACTCCTGGTCTTACTTTCTTTTTTGTTGAATGCCTTCCCACCGGGTGAGCGGTACTCCTAGTCTTACTTTTTTTTTTTTTGAATGCCTTCTCACCAGGTCAACGGTACTCCCAGTCTTACTTTCTTTAGGTTGAATGCCTTCCCGCCGGGTCGGCGGTACTCCTGGTCTTACTTTTTTTGTTGAATGCCTTCCCGCCGGGTCGGCGGTACTCTTGGTCTTACTTTCTTTTTTGTTGAATGCCTTCCCGCCGGGTCGGTGGTACTCCTCGTATTACTTTCTTTTTGTTGAATGCCTTCCCGCGGGGGTCGGTGGTACTCCTGGTCTTACTTACTTTTTTTTTTGAATGCCTTCCCGTCGGGTCGACGGTACTCATGGTCTTACTTTCTTTTTTTGTTGAATGCCTTCCTGCCGGGTCGGCGGTACTCATGGTTTTACTTTCTTTTTTTTTGAATGCCTTCCCGCCCGGTCGGCGGTACTCCTAGTCTTACTTTCTTTTCTGGCCCTTGGCCTCTGGGTGGAAGATGCTCGTCTTCGGGCCCTTGGCCTCTAAAGTGGAGATGTTCGTCTCCAAGCCCTTAGCCGTGATGGTCTTCTCGAGACCCTCGACCTTTGAGTGGAAGATGTTTGTCTCCGGGTCCTTGGCC